ACTTCTAAAAACCACAAGGTCCATGACAAACTTCTAGAAACCACAAGGTCCAGACAAACTTCTAAAAACCACAAGGTCCATGACAAACTTCTAGAGGAACACAACAGTTCCCACAACTGCTGTGGAGAGAGCGACATCTCCAGTTAAAGGTGCAGTGTGTAGAAATTTAGTGACATCTAGTGGTGAAGTGTCACGTTGCAGTTCAACACCCCTCACCTCCCCCCCTCCACCTCCAAACATGAGAGAGAACCTGTGGCGGCTTCAGTCGTCCCAGAAACTCAAAAAGGTTTAGTTTGTCCCGTCTGAGCTACTGTTAAAAAAAACAAAACATGGCTGCCTCCGTGAAGAGGACTTGCTCCTGATGTAAATATAAAGTATTTAAATATTAAAGGTCCATTCTGGAGTAAAACGAGGAGAGGAGGGTGGAAAAGATGGGGGAGAGAAGAGACTATGGTGGGTCATCATATTTAACATCTGTCAGAAAGAGAAAGAGAGAGGAACGGGGGGGGGGGGCGTTCATCCTTACACAACTCTCTGTCTCGCTGGTGAAAACCTTGAAGCAGAAGTTGACAGCAGCCACTTCCCCTCCTGAGAAAGTTTCCTCTGATCTTTCACAACCTCCGTTCTCCTCGTTCCGTGTGGGTGAAACCAGAAGTGATCACTTGACGCCCAATAATGTACAGCAAAGCATCATGGGTGACAATTGGAACAGTAGAGCGCGGTGGAAGCGTCGGATTACACCTCCTGACCCTTCACCTCCTCACGCTGGCTGTCTGATATAAAACAAACCGTAGCCACGAGGTCTTTGCCGGACGGTCGACTGCAACGCTTTAGAAATTATGCAACAAATAGTGGAACCACAACTTAATCTTACACTTGTGTAATTTCTTGATTAATTGCTGGAAGATGTTTCCCTGAAAGAACTTTATCATCAACCCTGTTAACGTCTTAATTTAAAACTTAATTAATAAGAAGATTTTACACATTAAGTTTATGTTAAGTCTATATTCGTCTTAATTGTTCTTCATTTATGTTGAGTTTTACACTTCGTTCGTGACGATTCAATCACTATTTATTCTTTTGGTAAATTTTTCAATGTCACTAAATCTGCAAATTGTTTTTAACCAGTGAAAAATATCAAACAACAACAAACAACTGGACTTATCTGTGATGAACCTGTAACATCTCCTCAATCCTTCTCACACAGTGACAATTCATTTTTTTATTTGAGTAAATCCTCAAGAGACGAACATATAACTTTTCTCGTTTCATAATCGAGAACAAAAACTACCGATATTAAGTGGTAAAATATTCACATAAGGATTTATCGGCTGATATATTTTTAAAAAAATGTGTCCGTGATTCTTTTGGATTATTTTTTGTTATTTTCGAACCCTTATTGCAAAGACATTTAATGGAGGTTTGATATTTTCCAGTTTAACTTTATTATAAAAGGAAAACACAAAAACATTTATAGAAGTTGAATTAGGAAAACAAACATGATTTCTATGTCCAGCACATCTTCTCCGATGATGTTTATTCTGAATAGTAAAAGTGAGAAAGGTTCATATCGGCTGATTTTTATCTGCCGGCCAATAAATCGTCTTGGCTCTTCTCACCTTCACCCACTTGGCTCCTCCTAAATCAACATGGCGGTGATATTATCACAGTTGGTTTAATGAGGGCTCTTATCAACACAATTATATCAGTGTCAATGCACAAAACAGGCTTTGGATGTCTCCTCCAGTCCCACATCCGCTCTAACGTCCAACTGGTGCCACAGGATCACAGAGACTCTCTGAAGTCCGTCCTCCGTCCTCGGAGGCTTTGTCATTAACGGTTAATGAGCGTCTGGCTCGGTGGATAGAGTGACAGCGGCCACGTCACTCTGTCCTCTGTGTACAACAAGGAAGTCTACAACCGTTCGGTCTGGTGTGAAACTCGTC